ATGAACCTTCGCTAGAACGCCAATATATATTATTTATAAAAAGCATTGATAAAAGTAGTGTTAGATAAGTTTATATTGGTAATGTTTATAGTGTATTATGAGGTCAGTATCTAAGGGAAATGAGATCGTTTTGATGAACACAGACATTTTATTTTTTTTATCTTTTTTTTTGAGACAGTCTCGCTCTGTTGCCTGGGCTAGAGTGCCGTGGCGTCAGCCTCACTCATAGCAACCTCCAGCTCCTGGGCTCAAGTGATCCTCCTGCCTCAGCCTCCCGAGTAGTTGGGACTACAGGCATGCACCACCGTGCCTGGCTAATTATTTCTATATATTTTCAGTTGTCCGATTAATTTCTTTGTATTTTTAGTAGAGACGGGGGTCTCGCTATGTTGTCCAGGCTGGTCTCGAACTCCTGACCTCGAGCCATCCTCCCGCCTCGGCCTCCCAGAGTGGTGGGATCACAGGCGTGAGCCACCGCGCCCGGCCTGTTGAACCCAAACATTTTAAATTGGAGTTACCAAAGACAATCAGATAGGATCCTCAACATCTAGTATATTTTTGTGCTTTGACAGCACAGCGGGAGATCATTTTGGTAAGATTGTAGATTATTTTGCAGTCAGTTGTTAAACTTAGAAAGCTGTGGGGTGGTCTGTTTAAAGCTGCCCCTCGAAAGCCCAACACGGGCCAGTCTGAATCGCATCATTCACGTGGAACGCAGCGCAAACGCAGGCTAGTTTAATTTCTCAAGTCGCCTGGCGCACACGGTTGAATGAGCCAATCCTTCCCCGACCGAACCTGCCTCTTCCGTGCTTCCGCGCTTAGTTGCTCAGCCTGGAAATTCCGGGTTCTCCCCTGCTCCGCCCCCCCCCCAGCCCGTGCGGCTCAGTCCTGTTTCAGACCTTCCTGCGCAGGCCCCTGTCTCCAGGCCGCTTGCCCTCCGGCCCCCTGATGGCACCAGCCCACCCCCAGCTCGACACGTCTTCCCTGGCACTTGTGTTTTTAAAAGCGAAAATGCATTTATGAATCGTTCGTATAATTAAAATAACGGGTCGCGTTCCTCTAGAACTCCCCCTTGGCTCACTGCCCCTAGCCGGTCTCCGCTCCTCCTCTGAAGCTCCCCTCGCTTGTCTTTCCCGTCTGCCGCCGCAGCCCCGCCGTGGTGCCGCGATCAGTATTTTGTGACGGCTTCTGGCTTCCGGGTGGGCGCTTACCCCATCACGCCATGACTTTCTGCACGTCTGTCCTTCCTGTTGCGTGAGCAGCTGCACGAGGGCGGTAACTGTTTTGTCCAGGTTATGTGGCACTCGCTGAATAAATGAGATTTACTTTTCTCTCTTCAAGGCAACCAACAGAAAAGGAGTGGAAACTTACTGCACCGCGGCAAAGTTTGTGATAGCCACAGGCGAGAGACCACGGTATTTAGGAATCCAAGGAGATAAAGAATACTGTATTACCAGGTAAGATTAAGTAGACCGTTGGACTTTCATAAATTGCGGTATGTTTTCAGTTTCCTTCCTCCCCGTCTTACTCCGCAAAGGAGTTGATGACCAATGAAGTGAGTACAAGAAGCTAAATGGTTAAAAGTAATGAAAACGGGAGAAAATGAGGTTAAGTCAGGAATGTCCGTGCTCAGATCTACGCGCAGAAGTACGCTACGTGTCTCTAGATAATTGCTGGAAACGGTCCGGGGATTTGGTTGTAAACTTCCTACAGGCCGAAGCAAAGAAGTAAATTCAATTAGCTTCAAGGTTTAGTGGCCACGTGATAAACGTGAGCTAGCTGGGAAGGGGCAGCACAGCTCTTCTTAACACAGAGATTTATTTATTCTTATCGTTTTTTATTTTTTCTGAGACAGAGTCTGGCTCTGTTGCCCAGGCTAGAGTGAGTGCCGTGGCGTCAGCCTCACTCACAGCAACCTCCAACTCCTGGGCTCAAGCGATCCTCCTGCCTCAGCCTCCCGAGTAGCTGGGACTACAGGCATGCGCCACCATGCCCGGCTAATTTTTTCTATATATTTTTAGTTGTCCAGCTAATTTCTTTCTATTCTTAGTAGAGACAAGGTCTCACTCTTGCTCAGGCTGCTCTCGAACTCCTGACCTTGAGCAATCCTCACTCCTCAGCCTCCTGAGTAGCTGGGACTATAGGGACACGCCACCACACCCGGCTAATTTTTTCTATATATTTTTAGTCGTCCGGCTAATTTTTTCTATATAGTTTTAGTCGTCAAGCTAATTTCTTTCTATTTTTAGTAGAGATGGGGTCTCGCTATGTTGCCCAGGCTGGTCTCGAACTCCTGACCTCGAGCGATCCTCCCGCCTCAGCCTCCCAGAGTGGTGGGATCACAGGTGTGAGCCACCGCGCCCGTCCAATACTGAGATTTAATACTTTTCCCTGGACGGCCAAAATAGGGTATCGCGTCATGCAGTGCGTGACCTGCAAATTTTTTGAGCTGACTCACGTTTTGAAATGCGTTTTCTGTTGCACTATTATCAGGTAAACACACACACCCCCCCCCGACACGGCACACACGCGCACACGTCCCCAAAACAGTTTTTCTTCTTATCACATATGATATAATCTGATATTCTCTATTTTTTAAAAATCTTTGCTCGTGATCTGATTTTGACGCAACCGAGATAAACTTCCTCCTCCTCCACGTCCTCTCCACGGTAGACTCGATTTCGAACTTCAAAAGGCTCTTTTCGCATTTCTTCATTCAGACGCCAAATGGCAACGCAGTCACCGAAAGACCATTTTGCACCGAAACCTAAACAACTCATCCCATTCTTCCTGCCGAGGTATTCCTTTTTTAATTTTTTGTTTTTCAGCGACGACCTTTTCTCTCTGACTCACTGCCCTGGCAAGACACTGGTGGTGGGCGGCTCCTGCGTGGCCCTGGAGTGCGCAGGGTTTCTTGCCGGCCTCGGCCTGGAGGTCACGGTCATGACGCGCTCGATCCTCCTCCGTGGCTTCGACCAAGAGATGGCGGAGAAAGTGGGTTCCTACATGGAACAGCATGGCGTCAAATTCATAAGAAAATTCGTGCCTGTGATGGTAAGTCTGAAGGACCTCTGGAATTCCTTTTGTTTTCTTTCTTATTCTCTCTTTAGTTTTGTATTTGACCCCTCCTTGCTTCATTTCATCAAGGAAATTAGTCTGTCCTGGAATTCTGTTAAAAGTAGTGTTTCCGTCCCCAGGTTTATACAGCCAGCCCCGTTTGTTTCTTCCTTTGACGGTGAAGACTGTCTTTGCTCTTCTCCGAGGCTGTCCCCTCACTTCTCACCTTGTTTTCTACCCTTGCAAAGGTGTCCCGTCTGCAGTTAGCGGTCGTCTTCTCCCCGATTCTCAGCTGCGTCTCTCGTCTTGAGAGAATTAAGCCCCCCTCACCCTCCCTGCCTTCCTGGCCAGGTCCTTATTTTTCTCTTCCCTGTAACAAGAAAAGTTCTCTCCGATCTCTCCGACGGCTCTCAGCTGCTTCCGTCTCGACGACTGCTTTGACGCCGCTTGTTGGGATTTTAGGAAACCCCCTGTCGTCCGATCCAGTGGTCACACCTCTGTCCTTACTTTGCCAGCGGGCCTCTCGGCAGCCTGCGGTAAAATGGGCCTTCCTTACGTTGCAAGCGCCCTCCCTCCCGGCTTTTGTGGCCCCGCAGTCTGTGGCTTTCCCATCCACGTCCGCCTAACCTGCACGCACCGGCTCCCGTCAGTTTTCATCTCGGCCCCGCTTCCCTCTCTGAACTTTGACCTGGTGGTCTTCTTTAGGCCTGCAGTTTTGTTTTGTTTTTTTTTTTTTTTTGATACAGGGTCTCACTGTGTTGCCCAGGCTAGAGTGCCGTGGCGTCAGCCTCGCTCACAGCAACCTCCAACTCCTGGGCTCAAGCGATCCTCCCGCCTCAGCCTCCCGAGTAGCTGGGACTACAGGCGTGAGCCACCGTGCCCGGCTAATTTTTTCTATGTATTTTTAGTTGTCCGATTAATTTCTTTCTATTTTTAGTAGAGACGGGGTCTCGCTATGTTGCCCAGGCTGGTCTCGAACTCCTGACCTCAAGCGATCCTCCCGCCTCAGCCTCCCGAGTAGCTGGGACTACAGGCATGCGCCACCGTGCCCGGCTAATTTTTTCTATATGTTTTTAATTGTCCAGCTAATTTCTTTGATTTTTAGTAGAGACGGGGTCTCGCTCTTGCTCAGGCTGGTCTCCAACTCCTGAGCTCGAGCGATCCTCCCACCTTGGCCTCCCAGAGAGCCAGGATGACAGGTGTGAGCCACCGCGCCCGGCCTAGGCCTGCGGTTTTAAGTCTCATCCACACGAAAGCGACGCTGAGACTCAGATCTCCTGTTCAGGCATCTCTCCCGAACTCCCCCTCGCTCACCTGCGCGGCCGCCTGCCGGATATGGCTGCTGGAATCCCTCGTACGCATTTCAGGTTTAACAGGACAAAACGAGACGGTAGATTTCGTAGCTCGGTCTGTTCCCCTGCTGATCCTCCTGGGCCGTCTCGGGACCCGGCAGGTGGTACCACAGTTCACAGGGTCGCTGAGCCGGCATCTGGGACCATCCCTCCGCTGCTCCATTCGTGCTCGCTCTGATCTCCGCTGCTCCGTGAACGCATCTCTGCCTCCAAAGCGTGTCTCGGGACAGTCGGCTTTTCTCTGCCTCTGGCTGGTCCAGAAACCGTAAACACGCCGGCGCACGTACACACGCCGCCCTCCCCACACCGATGCACGTGTACACACGCGTGTACGTCCTTTGATCCCTTTGTCTTCCGTTAATTATTTATCCTTACCAGGTTCAACAGTTGGAGGCAGGTTCACCTGGAAAGCTGAAAGTAGTGGCCAAGTCCACCGAAGGATCAGAAACCATCGATGGAGTATACAACACCGTAAGTTTTCCTTGTTTTCTTTTTAATCGGCACCAAATGATTGAACACGCTCGTAAGTGAGCAGAGATGAAGCTTATGGAAAAATTTATACCAGGATTAACACTTTTTCAATTCTTTATAAGAGTATAATAAGTGCGGAAAATAGTTTGGCCGCTGACATTCGAGTTTTCAGTGGTACGTACAGAACACTCGTGGTGAAATACACGTGTGTGTAGCCGTGTATAGAACAAAATCCGGAAGCACATGTATCCAGATGTTATCAGCGCCTGCTTTCGGAGAATTAGGTATTTTATGCATTTCTTCATTTGATTATTTTTGCAATAAAAGTTAAATATATTTTGTAACCAAAACCAGCAAAAAAGCTTGTTCTTTTTCAAAAACAAACAATCCATAATCCCCAAGCAATGGGGAATCGCCCTTGGAATATCTTGGATGCCAGCAATTGTTTTGTGATTAATTCATAGTTTTAACAGATAACTGTACATTTACGTTTTATACGGTCTTTTCACGTACATAATTTTTTCGGTTAAAGTAAACAAAACGTAGAAAGGATCAGCAGAGCCAAAATAACAAAACCAGCACCGACCCTGCTGAGATTTTGATGAGGATCGCATTGGAAATACAGATCCATTGGAAACACTTGATTTTTTCCTAATATTCAGCCTTCCGATCCATGGAAGTGGTGTATCTGTCCGTTAATTTAGACATTAATTGTTTAATGATTCCCCAGAAAGTTGATTAATAAATTTCTCCATGGAGATTCAACAGAAGAATATCTTGTGTTAGATGTATTCCTAGTTACTGACGTATTTAAAAATGCTATTTTTGAAAGCGTCATTATTTTTAGCTATTTATTGCTGATATATAGAAATGCTGCTGATTTTTGTTTGCATTTTCTATTCAGTAATCTTGCTAAACTCTTAATTAATCTCATAAATCTTCCTTAGATTATTTTGAATTTGCTATGTACCTACGCATTTATTTGTGAATAATAACAGTTTTGTTTCTTCTTTTCTACTGTTTTTCTCTTTTTTCCTTGCATGAGGGTACTAACTGGGACCCCCAGTACAGTGTTGACAAGAAATGACAATATCAGGCGTTCTCGTCTTATTTTCGATATCAAGAGGAAAGCATTCAGCGTTTCATTATTAGAGAGTCATGTTTTCTGTAGGGTTTTGATAAATAGTCAAGTTAGGGAAATTCTTTCGTATTTTTTGTTTCCTAAGTGTCTCTTTGTTTACTTTGTTTTGTTTATTTTAAATTCACGAATGGATGTCGAATTGTAACTGTTTCTTTTGCAGCTGTTGATAATCAGTTTTTTCTTTAATCCGTTCATAATTACGTTGATTTTTTCACGTCCGATCGACTTTGTATTCTTTGTATAAAAATGCAATTTGGTAATGCTAGACTTGGTCATTTAGAAATTTTGCGTTTATATTCACGAATCATACTGGCTTATGATTTTCCTTTCACATGTCGAACATTCTAGGTTTGGGTATCAAGATTACTGTGGCTCGTGAAGGAAGTTTGGAGCATGTTTCACCTTTTTCTGTTCTCTGGCGGTGTTTATGTAATAGGAGAATTGGTTCTTTCCGTGTTCGGCAGAATTCACCGATGGAACCATCTGGGCCTAGAATTTTCTATGAAGATATATTTGACCACGATTCAACTTCTTT